CAATCACTTCTGTAAGCAGTTTGAGAGTCTTATTTTTATGGAGGAGTTGAATATTTGGCCCTTTCTGACTTTAAGTGACTGCATAACTCAGGGATGTAACAATATTTTTTTAACCTGAATTAAATGTGTTTAACTTCCAGAAGTATTTGTTCAATCTCTCAAAGGTGAACTGAGGCTTGATATGAATTAATAAAAGTACTTTAGTTTAGATTAGATGATTGGGTTAATTAATTTCAATTATCACAGTTTGTCTCTCTTCTTATGTAACATAAAAAAAAGCTATGATTCCTCACAGAATCATCCTTGTAGATTTTCCTCTCTTTCTGAGTCTAAGTTTCGCTAACTGATTGCCTATACAGTTCCTTTTAAGTCCGTTTGTCTCTACATTTTGCCTCTCTCTCTTCACAAACTGAAATGAACATGTTTTCCTATGCAGGGTAAGATTTCTTTTTAGATAAGCTAACAAATTTCTTATCATTTAGTCTCTAGGGAAAGCAGATTCCAGTTAACATACGAACCATCCAACATCTTAATTCCCTTACTTAAAAATTCAACGTTAAATACAACACGTATTCAAATATTTTCTTCGGATAAACGATGAGGCATCTGAAATCGGATGACGATATTTCGTGAAAAATTTTCTAAAAGCCCAATATTTGGTACTAGATATGTATCGGCTAATCCGCTAAATGAAAACCAAACACTGGAATGTTAGCTATCCTCTCCTCTCAAATCCAGAATCCGCCGAGTTATATTAGCTTAGAACCCATGATATTAAAACACTGATATTTATTAGTTTCAACAGTCTCTATTTCCTGATATAAAAAAGTCGCATCTGCCTGCAAATTATTACCTTCAATTAACTATTGTAGTTAACTATCGGCAATATTAATTAGCTTATGGAAATTATATCTTAGCATAACAACTGCTATTTGCCAACCCACTTCAGAGCTAAATGATCAAAACATTCAGTCTCATCAACCAGAACAATAGTAATTTTACCCGTCCCTAGCATAATGTTTTAAAATGTAATAGTATGTGAAATGTTAAAAATAATTAGAATTTGGTCTCTTGTGACTAATCAAATAAGCTACTATATTTTATATATGTGACAACATCAAGCAAAAAATGATTTGTTGCAAATAGGTATTCATCTTTCATACGCCATTTGCGTAGGAGGTCTCTCTATGAAGAACACTCGCTCTGCACTATCTTTGAAGGCAAGGCGAGAATAATTGAAGCTGCTGCTCACTTTCTTGATGACAAAGTATTTAATTACCCATCTGAAATGCAAGTGGCAACCAAATCCACATTGCACCCACCTACGAGCAAAGTTGGTTAAAATTATGAGCTGCTATAGGAGACAGGACTAATCTCTTGAAGAAAACCTATTGTGACTCACCTTAACTCTATGAATTACTAACACTCAATTGTTTGAATTTGCAATCACTTAACTTATACCAGGGCATTGTGGTGGTGCATGGAAAAGCTAAAAGGGAATGAAAATCTTTTAAGAGCACTCCGACATTTTGTTGAACAATGTACCAGTGCACTTCTGTATATAGTTTATTTCTTCACCGTGGTGGAACATTGTGGCTTTGCTTGTCGGGTTGTGGATAAAGCCGTTTTTCTTAGTTTCATTCTGGCCTAAAGCTGGGAAGTTCAGTAGATCTGGTTGGCATGCAGTCTATCACATGCCGAAGAATACTCTCTACAACATAGAAGATGCATGGCTAATCTCCTGGTCAATCAAGAAATTATGAAATGCAGCTCAGAAATCTCTCATGCCATGACAAGAGCAAAGGAATTATTACAAGATCAGCAAAACATTCACTTCCGTTCAACATAACTGCACTGAACACAAACCTCTCTCTCTCTGCCCACACAATCCGCTCCACCACAGGACTATCGTACAATTGAAATGGAATGGCACACTCAGGATTCAAGTGGAAACTGATTGGTTGCTGCTGATTTTCCTATCCACCATCAATTTCAACCCTCTAAGCAAACTGTTCCAAAACCTCTCACATTTTCATGTTAAATTTTATCCCGTTGACTCTGTTTTTCTCTTCATAGATCTGCCTAAGCTGCTGAACATTTTCTTTTAGAATTTCTAGTTTTAATTTAGTAAAATCAATAAGTAAATAATTCACTTGAATCCGTTCATTAAAAATAATTCTGCCACGAACTGTTAAAAGTACTCTAATGCAATTAGGAAGAATGAAGAGGGCGAAGGTAAATTTCAGAGCAAGATTTTGACTCATTCAAAAGCCTATCCACTCGCACAGAATTAAAACTGGGACCAAATTGTTAATTATCAACGCATTTTACTCCATTCTCCTTAATATATTTTCAGGCAGCGATTGAAACAAATTAATATAAATGCCAAAAGTTAAAGCTCCAGCAATTGTAGTTAATAAACGTTTGATTAGAGCAATAATCCATATTTTGAACTTTGCACTTCCCGTTTTCCTACTCCAAACTGTCAATTGAAAAAATGCTTAATTGAGCTACAGAAAATCAGACCCCAGAAATTCCTGCAACAGCAGTAATTTACATCAATTCCTGTAGTAGGATATTTCATCTTGGTACATGAGGTGGCTGTTACAATAAGGAAACAGCAAATGAAAATCTATAATAACATCAGGATTTTAAGCAGAAGAACCAAAGTTTTAATGATAGATCCTTCTTTGGTTAAAATAGTTGGTTTGGACTGTTAACTCGCATATAAAGATTATATCCCTCAGAAATCATTCTTTCACACGGATTAACATATACATTTGAATGCATTTCTTATATTTATCTGTGTATATGTAGATACATATATCTGGCCTTTGGTGGATACGTTGTTTTGCCCCACCATTCACAAGGATGCTTTCGGTTGTCTAGTAGTAATTTTAGAATACGTTCCTCTGCCTTTCGTGTTCCAAACAGAAATAAAATTTCCAAGGGGAAGACCCACTATCCAGAGTTAACCCAAATAAGTTAAAGATAGTATTAAACTTAAAGAAAAGGCATATAATTGCACAAAGTTGGGTGGTATGTCAAAAGATTGGACAGGATATGAAAAGGGCAAAGGATGAATAGGAACATTCAATATACGAAAGCCCATTGAAGAAATGAGGACAGAGCACACTATAGTAAACATATGCGAATTTTTGGACTCCTATGTCAGTATATTACAGCTTCCTTTCTCAATGAAGGTGGTAAGAGCTTTAAATAACATGAAAAATAAAACAGCAACCTATATAGACCATCGAGGTATTCGAAAACAGAATCGGAAAGAAACTTGCTAGGAGACCTATAACTCATACAGAGAGATTTCCTCGCCTTCACTGAAGTGAATGGGAAATGTGTAGTGGAGAACTTTCAGAAACACACTTATGTAGAACACAATATCAGAGAACAGGGAATTTGAGGAATTTAGCGTCAACCTTTTTGAGTTTTTGTGATACTTTGAGTCAGATGTCACCTTGGTATAAGTATGAAAGCAGTGCGGAGAATCGTAAGCGTGAATCTTAAAATTTGCACAGCGAATTTTTATTTATTAAACTTATTTATAGTTTACTCATTTTCTTTGCATTCACTCTACGCTGTTGCGGTGAACATTGCCATTTTAATATTATTCTACATTGTAAGTAATTGCTGTATAACATTAAAAGACGTGACAAACATAATTTTGACCCAGTTGCTGCTGGAATCCTCTCCTTCTGGCAGAAAGCACGCCTACAATTTCCAGCGCTGTTGAAGCCTTACTATTCAGACTCATTGTGTACATATCAGGATGACCCCAGACAATTAATTAAATATCTGGATTACACATTGTACAAAACGAATTTGGCTATCAATTGGAACAAACTCCACTCACTTGGAGGAACAAAGAGTACTATTTTTACATTGATTATTTTTCCCAATGGGTCTATTCTAATCTTGTGACCCATTTCATTCTCAAAATAAGGTGACACTTGACTCAAATCAACACAAAATCTCATGAAGGTTGACGCTGAAAAAATGGTTGCCGCCAAATCCCTCACAATTCACTGTTCTCTGACATTGTGTTCTACACACGTGTATTTTTGAAAGTTCTCCATTTTTTAAGGTGCACGGTTTCGACCAACATCACTGCTGTTTTGAAACAGTTGGTGAATGTGGCTGTTTAACTGTATTTTGTGAATTGATTTGGAATAGAGGTGATCCACCCTCGGGTGACTGCCTGTGTGGAGTTCTTACATTCTCCCTGTGTCTCCATGGATTTCCTCCGGGTGCTCCTCCCACTGTCTAAAGATATGCAGGTTAGATAGTTTGGCTAAATTGCCCATAGTGTCCAGAGATAAGCCGGCTAGGTTGATTAGCCGTGGGAAATGCAAGGTTACAGGGATAGGGTAGGGGGCTGGGGCTGGGGCTAGGTAGGATGCTGTTTGGAGGGACGGTGGCCGAATAGCCTGCTTCCTCATTGTAGCGATTCTATGGTGATCCTAGAAAGTGCTTAAAGGATGACCAGAACTTGACAATAGAGTGAATGGAGAATGTCAATGTTAAGAGAGGAACAATATCTTTGTACGTAACAACTTGGTCCATATGATCTCCTGGGTTGTTTTTTGACTGTTTGAGTTGCGGGGGAGGAGTAAGAGAGGAATTTTCCAGTTAGTGGGCCCTATTGAGCCTGGATTGTTTTATCCTTTGCCTCTTTTGGGGGATTACATGAGGCGCGGAGAGATGAACAAGAGGTGGTGCAGGCTGGTCGGATCAGCTGTTGTCTCCGACCAGCCAATTTCGTACGTTCAGAAATTTAAGGTCATCGTAAGCCTTTCCGGATAAGAAGGGATAGTAAAAGATTCCGCAGGAGCAGGATTAGTGAATCCAGAAGCTTGCTCCTGGAATAATGTTGACCCGTGCTAAAGTGTGATCGACACTTTGTACGATTTGTTCCTTTCCCGCTTATTCACATCCAAAACCAGGTAGAACCAGTACTAAGTTTTAGAGGAATGAAAAGAAAATCCTCACGTTTTTGGCATATTTATTATAAAATGTAATAAAAACGGTTGATTTCAAAAGAATGCAAATACACGATTATCTACAAAGCCCGCGATTTCGAAACATGTGTTTTCATCAAACGCAATACAGTACTGATCTAACACAAAAAATTCACCGTATCCCGGACACTTGTCACATCAGGCGCAGTTTCCTGGCATAAAGCCATTTCAAAACCGGCTTTCACAAAGAAGTGTCAAGAATATGTGCGAATTCCCACTTTACTAGCCAGGTGAACCACTTTAAAAAAAACACAAAATATATAGTATTTCAAAGAGTATTTACAAATATACATCAAGGTCATATTAACCGTACATGACACATTAGTACTTGTTTCACCAGTTCGTTCAGTAAGAAACACTGCGGTAAATAGAAAGAAGGAAGGATCGTTTTCAAAATATATTAAACGTTTCTACAAATTCAGTGCATTTAGTTCATTCACACTTCAATCAGGACAGTGCTGGGATTGTGGCTCTGATTTTTATACTGCTCAAGCCACATTCTGAGTTCGGAGATCTTGTATCCTTCTGGTCCTCTCCCTCCTTGATACACGACTTTCTGATTCCGGACGACATACAGCCGTTCAAAGTAAGCGCCGTAGGCAGTGTTGGAAGAGTTATCCATGGTGTCAGCGACCACAAGGCAGCCAGGGTTCTCTCTGTCCATCAAACTGGCTGCTTTCAGGCGGTCTTGCAGGGAGCGGTGCTTTGGGATGTCATAGGGAGCATCGGTGCTGATCCAACCGTCAGAAGGGTGAGCTTCCTCAATGTAGACCAGGAGGAAGTCTGCAATGTCAGCGTACTGGGTGGCGAGCCTCTGGAAGGACTTGAGGCGCGCCATGAAAGGGGGTCAGGTGCAGCTGCCAAAGTTGAGAATGAGTGGCCTGCCGCCTCGGCTGTAGTCCAGCAGCCGGACCGTGCTCTCGTCCCACAGCTGCACCACTTCAGGGTTTGGAGCCGGCGAGCCCACGTGGGCGGATTTAAAAAAGTCCAGTTTCTGGCCGTACCAGATCGCTCTGAGGGAATCCATGGTAAACATTCGGTTTGTGTCCGAGACACACAGAGGAGGATCATCGGCATTTCCTTCGCGCTGTTGCCTACTCTTAGACAGCAACCGCTTTCGGATGCACAGGATATCGAGGAGCCAGAGCATGAAGGCGGTGATGAGGAAGCGGGGTAACAGGATGAACACAGCCACCACCTCCTTCAGGAGCTTCATGGTTGGTTTGTAATTTAGAGCCTCCGCCCTCCCCTTCCCAGGCAGCAAGTGTCTCCCTGCTGCTGTGATCGAACCGCCACGGCTCGTCCCCTTTTAAAACTCCTGTGCTGAATGAAGACAGCCCCCGTCTCCTTGTAGACCCGCCCCGGGGATGAACCAGCAGTGACTGAACACCTCAGCACTGAGCCAGGCCAGAGGGGAACAGAGCAGGACGCATTGGCAGCATTCAAGATCCATGTCTCTGAGGAAACAGCCACTGGTCCCGACCTGCTTGGGGGTTGGAGTCTCGTCGAAGCGAAATCTAGGACTGTTTACAAACCGATGTAAAGCACGGCACGAAGCTCGAATGTGAAAGTGCGCCCATGAGGAGTTTAGAGTGGTGCAGCATAACTATAACAGAGCCAGAAGCGGATCAATGGCTAAATACAAAAACAGGACACTCAGGGATAGGCGACAAATGCTTGCCTTGTCAGAGATGCTCACGTCCAAGAAAGATTTTTAAAGAAGGAAGTATTGGCTAATAAACTTTGAGAATACTACTTAAAATGGTCCAACAAAGGAGAATTATTTTCCTTAATGACCTTACCCCGTTTTTCTATGAAAAGTTCAATTTGTACTTCCTGTGAGCTGAATAAAAAAGCACATGGGTTTGGTTTGAAACCGAATACTCTTAAAGCTCGATGTCAAACTAATGAGCTATATTATAGGCAACAAGACACGAAAGATAAGTGGCTAACCTTTTAACGGTTAATTTTTCAGAGGCATTAAACACGAGAGTTTCGTTGCGTGTTTAACCCATTGAAGTTTAAGTACACCAAATTACTGCTTTTAAATTCTTAATGTCTTTCGGTTGTTAAGCTCATGAAAGCATTCGCCCTGGGCAATCAGTTGTATTTTATTGGATAGCTTACTCGAAGTGGACGTTAAATGGTTTATACTCCAGAAGGGTAACTCTTTCCATTATTAATTCCTTTAAGACTTGCTCATAATTCGAAACTAGAGAACGGATAATTTTACTTCTCATTTTAAAATTTTACCAAAAAACTTATAATTATCACAGTGGATTCGACTTTGAATGTCTGGACGCAATGTTGACATGCAATGCTGCTACTGAGCACAGTCATCATTAGAGGGCGCTGTTGGCTGGTTGGTGTTTCTCATCCTGTAACAATTTAGACATTTCTTGTTGTTTTCATGTAGTGTACCACAAGGCGTGAGGTTTTATTATCTATAGCAGGAACATTATAAATAAACGTCATTCTTTTCTTTCCAATCCAGATCAACCCCAAAGGCACGTTTCCTAGTTTAAGCTGTATCTTCTACTAAAGAGTTTCCAAAACGAAAATAAATATCCTTTTAAGAGCACACAAATAGAGACAACAAATAGTTTAATGTAGAAGTCAGAG